CCTGCAGCGGCCCCCGCGGCCCATCCCGCCGGCGCAGCGAGGTGCGGGACAGCGGCCGTAGCTGCGGAAACCTCCGGCGACGCGGCGAGGGGCGGCGGCATTGCGGCCTCCCCGGGCCACACTGTAGTCGCAGCAGTGTAACACGGAGCCAGTGGCCGGCCCCGTGAGCGTGGCGACGGGCGGAGCCGCGGCAGCACCCGCGGCCCATTCCGGCGGCACGGCGATGTACGGGGCAGCGGCGACTGCCGCTGCGGCTGCTGCCGCTGCCCACCCCGGCGGCGCGTACTTACCCGGGGCCCCCCCGGCGGGCGCAGCTTGATGTGGAGCCGCGTCGTCGCCGGCGGCTGGTCCCGCAGGAACAGCGTGCCGAGAAACTCCGGCCACGCCGGTTGAGAGACCCGGCGTCGCGGTCGCCATGGCAGCCATGGCGCCGACTTGTGGCGTCGCAGCAACAATGGCCGCCACCCGCCGCGTCGCAGCCGTAGCAGCGGCCGCATACAACTCCCGAGCCAACATGGCCGCCGCGGACTGCGTCGCAGCCAACATGGCGGCCATTTCCGGTGGAGCGACCACCGGGAAAACGGCGGCGGTTTCAACGATGGGGGTTGACGGTTGCTCCCGTCCCGAGTGCGGGCCGGTTGCCTGCGTCCGCGCCTCCACCTCGGCCAACCTAACGGTGAGCTGCCCCACCGCCTGCAGGACCTGCTGCAGCAGGGCTGCGGGGACGCTCTCCGTCTCTGGTGGCGGCGGTGAGCTGGCACTCCCGGCTGCCGACTCCTCCCGCTCCGGCCCGCTCGTCTCCATGGGGACCGTCACCGGGGTCCCGGGCTCCGGGGTCGCTGCTGGAGCCTCCTCTCCGCCTTCGGCACCCTCCAAGTCATGTGCCGGTGGGTTCTTACGCCGTGCGCCCACTTTAGACATTGTGGCGACGGTGTCAACTAGTGACACCAGTTGTTGAGTAGTTCCGACGGACGTACTCATAGACGGAGGTAAGTTAAGGGCTTCCGCCAGGGTTTATTAAAGCTTTCCACCGACCGGAGAAAGAAGCACCTCTATCGGCTACCACCGGCTTCTCTATTTGATCCCTCTCTCTACCCCTGGTTCCCTCTTCACCCTGTTTACTTTCCCCGTTCCCACAGTGACCCCGCTTACGTCACGGGGTATCCCTTAAGTACCCTAGGAGACGTGACGTCATGTGCACTGTCCAGCGCGCGTGACCCCACGTCCCGTGATGTCATCGCACTGGACAGCGCACACGACGCCACTACTCTCCCCTACTCCTCTACACCTACGTGACTTTACCGAAAGAACCAAAGAGTATGGATTCCTGCAGTCACGAAAGCTTCAAATCAAGATGATATCAATACTAGAGGTGAGATTTGTAACCATACACCCAACACGATGCAAATTCTAGAGGCGAGACTTGTAACCAGACACCCAGCACCACCTATGCTGCCCAATACTGCAGGAAAGAGGCATAATCATTATGTCCCATAAATCAGTTTATTTACAAAATAATAAACTTAATTTGTCTGAGTCATCAGGCACAGCATTTACTAGGGTAATCATTGTAGTCAAATAAGGGCTCATTTCCACTTGAAGAAAGCGGGACCTATGGGATTGATGATAAGCTATCTAAGGCTTGTTATTTCTGTTGTAAGGCGGCGTTAGTGAAGACATGGGGAGGTTTCGATTTAAAGCTTTCGTGACTGCAGGGATTCATCTTCTTGTTTCTTTCGGTAAAGTCACGTAGAAGGGAAGTAATAAAATAATAAAAATAAAACATAATAAAACAATTCTCACGACGTTTCGGCTACAACGCAAGCAGCCGTCTTCAGGTGAAGAATGAGACACTACCAAACTAGGAGCTTATATATAAGCTGCATTGGGGGTTGAAGAGCGCCTTAACAAAAAGAATGTGCATGTGAAGAGGGATTTAGCATATTCATGGAAAATGCGTAGGCGTTGGGCGGGGGGGTGTCAAAGTCATATTATGCCCATGCATTATGCAGGATCAGCAGCAACCAAGGGGGGTGCAGGGATTAGCAGTAACAAAGGAAAGGAATGTTAATGATATGTAGCTGCAGTTACTCAACAACCACGTAGAAAACTAAAGTATAAACTACATAAAAAACTAAAGTATAAACTGCATCGCACCATCAGTATACTTACTATACTCTATAATAAGCTGAGTTACTAACAGCAAGTAATACATTACAATTTTACCTCGTAAAAATTCTATAATATGCTTCCATCTAAACCTTATTCTCTTACATCACACGAGCATATACCGTACTATATACTGCCATAGATAAACCCAACATTAAATTATATACTGTATTGCTGTAAACCAACCTATATCTTATACATTTAATATCACACTATGTATTATTCTACACACCCTAATGTGTATCGAAATGGTTTATTACGTCCTTCCAATGATTGCTGAGCCAGAATCCATCTTCTCGGTTAAAGTTGTCTCTGTGTTTGTATATGTGGATCGCCTCATGAACGAATCTCTCATGATAGCCAGATGGCTTGCAGAGAACCTCTGTCTTGGAGAAGTCAATATCATGTGAGCCCACTGAGTTGTAACAGTGATCTGCCACGGCTGAGGTGTTAGTCCTACCGTGTTTCAGGTCAGCTTTATGTTCACGGATGCGGTCCGAGACATGTCGTTTGGTTTCCCCAATGTAACTGCTACCACAGAGGAAACTTAGTTTGTAGACGCCAGGGTACTGTATGTCTGGAACCACATCTTTTACAGACGGTACCAGATCACGGATTTTATGTACTGTGTTGAATCGGACCTGGATCTTGTGTTTAATCAGGATTTTGGAGATCTTTTTTGTGACCCCAGCAATGTAGGGTAAGGTGATGGTCTTGAAAGGCTCCTCAACAGGATCCTTCTTGATGGTTGGAGTGATGGCTTTGCGGATTGTATAGTCGGAGTAACCATTTGCCTTAAGAGCTTGGCGTACGTGTTTGAGTTCACTGGAAATGTGTTCATGGTCGGAGATGCATTGGGCTCTATGATATAGAGTCTTGATGAGGGAATTCTTCTGAGATGGATGGTGGTGGGAATCCGGTTTTAGATAAGCATCCGTGTGGGTGGCTTTCCTGTAGACAGAGTGGCTCATTGAACCATCAAGTCTCCTTTTGATTAGGACATCCAAAAAGGGTAGCTTGCCATCATTTTCGACTTCCATGGTGAATCTGATGGCTGGGTGTATGGAATTGATGTGGTCGAGAAATTGGTCTAGAGCAGGCCGGTCATCTGGCCACATGGCCGGCCTGCTCTAGACCAATTTCTCGACCACATCAATTCCATACACCCAGCCATCAGATTCACCATGGAAGTCGAAAATGATGGCAAGCTACCCTTTTTGGATGTCCTAATCAAAAGGAGACTTGATGGTTCAATGAGCCACTCTGTCTACAGGAAAGCCACCCACACGGATGCTTATCTAAAACCGGATTCCCACCACCATCCATCTCAGAAGAATTCCCTCATCAAGACTCTATATCATAGAGCCCAATGCATCTCCGACCATGAACACATTTCCAGTGAACTCAAACACGTACGCCAAGCTCTTAAGGCAAATGGTTACTCCGACTATACAATCCGCAAAGCCATCACTCCAACCATCAAGAAGGATCCTGTTGAGGAGCCTTTCAAGACCATCACCTTACCCTACATTGCTGGGGTCACAAAAAAGATCTCCAAAATCCTGATTAAACACAAGATCCAGGTCCGATTCAACACAGTACATAAAATCCGTGATCTGGTACCGTCTGTAAAAGATGTGGTTCCAGACATACAGTACCCTGGCGTCTACAAACTAAGTTGCCTCTGTGGTAGCAGTTACATTGGGGAAACCAAACGACATGTCTCGGACCGCATCCGTGAACATAAAGCTGACCTGAAACACGGTAGGACTAACACCTCAGCCGTGGCAGATCACTGTTACAACTCAGTGGGCTCACATGATATTGACTTCTCCAAGACAGAGGTTCTCTGCAAGCCATCTGGCTATCATGAGAGATTCGTTCATGAGGCGATCCACATATACAAACACAGAGACAACTTTAACCGAGAAGATGGATTCTGGCTCAGCAATCATTGGAAGGACGTAATAAACCATTTCGATACACATTAGGGTGTGTAGAATAATACATAGTGTGATATTAAATGTATAAGATATAGGTTGGTTTACAGCAATACAGTATATAATTTAATGTTGGGTTTATCTATGGCAGTATATAGTACGGTATATGCTCGTGTGATGTAAGAGAATAAGGTTTAGATGGAAGCATATTATAGAATTTTTACGAGGTAAAATTGTAATGTATTACTTGCTGTTAGTAACTCAGCTTATTATAGAGTATAGTAAGTATACTGATGGTGCGATGCAGTTTATACTTTAGTTTTTTATGTAGTTTATACTTTAGTTTTCTACGTGGTTGTTGAGTAACTGCAGCTACATATCATTAACATTCCTTTCCTTTGTTACTGCTAATCCCTGCACCCCCCTTGGTTGCTGCTGATCCTGCATAATGCATGGGCATAATATGACTTTGACACCCCCCCGCCCAACGCCTACGCATTTTCCATGAATATGCTAAATCCCTCTTCACATGCACATTCTTTTTGTTAAGGCGCTCTTCAACCCCCAATGCAGCTTATATATAAGCTCCTAGTTTGGTAGTGTCTCATTCTTCACCTGAAGACGGCTGCTTGCGTTGTAGCCGAAACGTCGTGAGAATTGTTTTATTATGTTTTATTTTTATTATTTTATTACTTCCCTTCTACGTGACTTTACCGAAAGAAACAAGAACATGGGGAGGTGTTTACTGCTCCCGCTGTATTTGCAGTTACTTTCTCTACTGAGACCCAGCCTCTTGCACCTCACTGCTGTTTTCTTGGCTGCTGCACGCAGAAGGGGAAACACGCTTCCAGCCAAAACACGCCGAGGGTTCACGTCGCAAAGCAACCCCACCTCGCCGAGGCAGCCCTCCTTCTCCATGTAGGTGCGCACGTGAGCCCAGATACGGCGAGGGGACAGCACGTCGCCCCCCATGTCCTGCTCAAAGTGTTCGTAGCTGCCATACCGGCTCAGTGTCCGCTCCAGGATGCTCACAGCCTGGGCAGGAAAGACAAGGTGAGAAAATGTAGCCATGCCCCTTAACATTGCCATGTTCCTATGAGTAAAATATTACCACGACCATAAAAAGAGCCCAAGCAAACACTAAACATAACCTTTATATATAGCCTACCTATAACTTTACCCCTCGCAATAATCCTCATCCTATAAATGACCATAACACCCTGGCAACAACCCTAATCCGAAAACAAAACTTGGCAATAGCCCAAATCCTCATAGACCTTAATCTTAGAACTCTAAACTGAAACCGACACTCGTCCTAAAACAGTCAAACAGCACCTAACTCTAAAACAGGCCTTTACCTCAACCCTTAACGTAAACCCAAATACGAACACAAACCCTAGCACAAATCGTAACACAAGCGCTTGACCTTAACCACGAAACAAACCCTCAAACAGCTCTGACAGAAGCCCTCTGAGTATGCCAAACATTCTCGTGATGCCGCACAGTGCACCCCGACCTGCAGAAGTAAGTGGCGCAATGGTGCATGGTCGCTAACGTTGCGAACTAAGTGAACGCGAATGTTGGACCTCTCGTGAACCCCCCCAGGAGCTACCCCTTGCCCCTACCTGTGGCAGGAAGCAGTTCGACGGAACAGCATAGCGCGCAAGCAGCACGGGATCGGTGGGGTTCGCGTACTCGAAACGCGGGTTGTATGCGAAGCCGGCGCGCACGAAGCGCCCACGTTCGCGCTGCACATTGCGTGGTTTGATGGCGGCGAGAAGGCAGGGCGGGCGTGCCGACACACCACGGCAGGGCCCCAAATCCAGTCCGCGCCCTGCCCCAGGAAAAACGTGGGGAGAGAGAAGCCGAAGATGTGGCACTGGAGGTCATGGTCACAATGTTAACGCTCGTTGGTGCGTTGCTTAGTTAGCACACCATGCTATGAATCGAGCAACTGGAGCTGGATTCATATCTGTTGAGTTTGGGAGTGACCAACAGAAGAGGCGCAGATCCAATAGTGGAGAAACTGATAAGGGGGTGATATTTGAGAGAAGGGGACTGAGTTGATGGGAAAGATAACCCTGCCTGCAGGAGGGGCTATCCTCTAGTTAACCATAATTATGCAGTGTTAACATTATGGACAAGAACCCATGATATTTTTGGAAAACATTTTTGGCCATGTATGCTGATGTCATGGTCCTACTTTGCCAAATAACTTGCAAATTACTTAACTGCCTAATACAAAAGAGCAGTCTCGCCCCCACTTGCAGGCTGGAGCTGCCGTTCACTTTGTGCCACACGAGAAACAGCTGCCACAGGTCCCTCTTGACTAGACTACTGCAGAGTACCTCGAGACATCCTGTATGGGAGACGTGGTAGAAATATTAAGTGGTGGTGGTGATGATGATGAGTGGTACGTGATGGGACAGCTCACAGCGCTGGAGGAGATGTGGAAGGTGCCGGAACTCGTCCTGGGCTCCGTCTCCCGTGAGGTCGTGCTGCGTGCTGCCCACCGGCCTCTGGGAAAGGTCCAGGCTTCTCCCCGCCACACGCAGGTCGCCCACAACGTGCCTTTTGCCTACCACAGGTGACCCTACCACAGGCATACCCACTGTCCGATCCGGCATGTGACCTGCTCGTCACCTGTAGCTATAAACATAGCAGAGCAGAGCAGAGGCAGGGATGGCGGTTCCCAAGTTAGCCTGGCTTGATCGGTTCTGACAAGGCGAGACACCCACCGGCATAGAGGAGCTCTTGGAGATGCTTCATGACAAGCAAGTCCACTTTTCATCGGGAATCCTTAAGAGGGGAGTAGGAGGTGGTGGCGCAGACGGAATAGGCCGGCCTGAGAAGAGCGGGGAGGGCAATGGCGTGCAGAGACCACAGTGGCGGCGCGGCCCATGGCCAGGGGCGCTCATCGGCGGCGATGTCATGACCGGGCCCCTCGGCTTCCTCACTGGCCTCAAGGGGTGGCTGCCATCGGCTTCATGAGCGGAATGATCATCCAGAAACGGAAGGAGCGGCTGGACCACCTCATTCTAAAACCAGATTGGGGCTCTGCAAGCCTCTCCTCAGTGTGCCTGGTAAGGAGGTAAGGAGGTGATGTTGAATAATCCTTGCAAGGACCTTTCCTGGCACACTAAGGAGGGAGGTGCCTGTGTAACTGTTACATTATGTGCTTTATCTTGACTTAAAGCTTTCGTGACTGCAGGAATTCATACTCTTTGGGTCTATTAGATCTCTTAACAGACTTCGAGACAAGAAGGCTCATCTGATCGAGTCGCTCACTTTTCTGAAGAGATGCCGTGACACCAAGGTAATACTGATCGCCTTTAAACTCACATATGCTGCTGTCACTTCTCCTAACGCTAAACGGATCTTGTTTAGGGTCGGCCTAGCCCTGGTCTCAGAGAGAACAAGATTGCTCCGATTTGAACTAGAACATTTAGACAAGACTCTCTTGCAATCACACTTAGCATTGACAGAAAAAAGTGTCTACATCTGAATGGGACCATGTAGATAACATGACAGCCTCTTCAGCCACCTCAATGTCAGCTAAATGCAAAGAGAACCTGATTGCCAAGTTCAGCCTCCTGTCTAGGAAGAAGCCAGATCCACACGAATAAAAGTTAGACGTTGACAAGATTGTTATCAATCAGAGTAACAGCCCAATTTCCAACAGCCTAAAATCGGTACTAGCTAAAGGGTTGAATTCGCAGTCACCCCTAAACACATCTCAGTTGATGATATCATTGCCCAGGTCGACATAGCCACTAAGGGTTTGGGACACATTCCTGCAGATGTGGCAAGATCGTAAATCGCTGCAATTATCAAAAACGCTAAGAAACCTTTTAGCAACATCAGCAAAGATGAGCGCTTTGAGCTTGCTCAACTGAAAAAGAGATGACAAATTTGTATTTAAAGCTTTCGTGACTGCAGGGATTCATCTTCTTGGTTCTTTCAGTAAAGTCACGTAGAAGGGAAATAATAAAAATAAAACATAATAATTCTCACGACGTTTCGGCCACAACGCAAGCAGCCGTTCTCACCTGAGGACTGAATTTCAGACACTGTCTTTCCGACAGACCTGTTCTACACCTGAGGACGGCTGCTTGCGTTGTGGCCGAAACGTCGTGAGAATTGTATTTTATTATGTTTTATTTTTATTATTTTATTATTTCCCTTCTACGTGACTTTACCGAAAGAATCAAGAAGAGAGATGACAGTCATCCTCTCAGCCAACAAGGGCAATGCCACTGTCATCATGGATAAAACCACATACAGAATCAAAATACAGGACCTAATGAATGATGGTAGCTATACCAAAATCCATAGAGATCCTACCAACCACCTGGTTACATAAACCAACAATATCATCACTGATTCGACATCTTTAATCGAACCAACCAAGTGGCTCTGTCTAAAACCATCTGCTGCTAGACCACCCAGATTTTATGGCTTACCAAAAATCCATAAAGAAGGTACACCTCTCCATCCTATCGTCTCCATCATTGACTCACCCACCTACAAACTAGCCCAATTTCTGTCTGAGACCTTGCTTCCATTCACTGGCAAGACCACCTCAGCTGTACTTAATTCAGCTCACTTGGTTTCTCTAATTAAAGACATCTCACTAGCTCCAGGTGATTTGCTTGTCAGTTTCGATGTAGTTTTTTTGTTTACCAAAGTTCATGTGCCTGACACCATTGCAATAATTGAAGATTTGGTCCAACAAGGATTGAATGCTGATGTACCGGCCCTGGTGAGACACTGCCTTACCAACACTTACTTCACCTGGAATGGTACATTCTATAAACAAGTTGACGGTACCCCAATGGGTTCTCTCTTATCTCCAGTAGTAGCCAATGTTTTCATGGAAAATTTTGAGACAGGTGCCATCCAGGCATCCATCCTACGTCCTTCCTTGTGGAAGAGATACGTAGATGACACATTCATCATCTGGCCACATGGCCTGCCAGCATTGAACCAATTCTTCAACCACATCAATTCCATACACCCAGCCATCAAATTCACCATGGAGGTGGAAAAGGATGGCAAGTTACCATTCTTGGATGTGTTAATCGAAAAGAGACCAGATGGCTCATTGGGACACTGTCTACAGGAAAGCCACCCACACAGATGCCTATCTAAAACCTGACTCCCATCACCATCCAGCCCAGAAGAATTCCCTCATCAAAACTCTATACCATCGGGCTCATTGCATTTCCGACCATCACCACCTAGCCAGTGAACTGGACCACGTACACCAAACCCTCAAGATGAATGGATATTCGGACTGCACAATCCAAACGTTGGGAGAAAACCATCTGATGACCCAATCAAAACCATCACCTTGCTATACAGCAGGGGTCACCAAAAAGATTTCCAAAATCATGAGCAAACACAAGATCCAGGTTCAATTCAACACAATACATAAAATTCGTGATCTGATCCCATCTGTGAAGGATGTGATCCCTGACATGCAATACCCCGGTGTCTACAAACTAACTTGTGTCTGCGGCAGTACTTACATTGGGGAAACTAAGCGACATGTCTCAGACCGTGTTCATGAACACAAGGCAGATCTGATCATTGCTTTAACGCTGTGGGAACACACGAAATTAATTTTTCCAAGACAAAGGTACTCTGCAAACCTTCTGGCTATCAAGAAAGATTCGTTCATGAAGCCATCCAGATATATAAACACAGACACAATTTCAACCAAGAAGATGGGTACAAACTGAGCAATCATTGGAAGGACGTTATTAACCAGTTTAAGTCATAACTTGTCTCTGATGTTTCCATCCTACCTGCCGATGTTTGCAGTTATTTTCGACTCTCTGAGTTGCATTACTAGGTTGGAGGTCTTTGCATTGACAGGCTGCATGTCTTACTAGCACAGTCACCGATGCTCCTTTCCCTCGATGTGGCAGTGGCTCTCGTTTTTTCACAATACAATGGCTACCTTCACAGCCTCAAGACGCCCTCCGTTCTCACAATACATTGACATGCTAATCTCTCTCAATATAATGGCCACCCCCACAGCCTCAGGGCGCCCTCCGATCTTACATTTACATGCAAATACCATCTCTAACCCTGTCCACTTACCCTTGGGCTGCACCCATCTTAGGTCTCTATAACATCCTGTTTCAGCTGCTCTCTTACTGTATTTTTTCACCTGAAGACGATTGCTTGTGTTGTGATCTAAACGTCGTGATTTTTTATTATTTTTCTATCTACGTGACTTTACGGAAAGACCCAAAGAGTATTATGTGCTTTCCCCCTTCTTAAAAAGGGGAACCACCAGGGTATCCTTCCAATCCTGCGGGTCCCTCCTGTGGTCCAGCTAATTGTACTCCTGTCATATTGGACAGCTTGAACAAATTCACCACCTTCCCTCAGCAGTTCGCTTCGAGGTCATCTCTGCTGGCATTTTTTCTGGTCTCAGGCTCTGGATGGCTCTTTGTACTTCCTCAACAGATGGCACATCAGCCAGTCACTAACAGGAGGTGGCTTCTTCCTCCAATATTTGAAGTACTGCAGCCCCAGCAGAGTCAACTCCACCATTTCCCATGATGTTATCCAGGCTGAAGGGTTTCCCTCACAGAAATGCTCAGAAAACTTGCAGACTTGTCCTTGGGGGTTGGAGTTCTTTCCCTTTGGAACAAGACTGCTACAGGGTGACTGTTGCAGGGTGCTTCTCCAAAGCACACAATCACCAATAATGTATCTCCACGACGATGATGATGGTGTTCATGATGATGAAGACTCTGACAATGATTGAAATGAATTACTTAACCCTGAAATAAAACAAATTTAAATTGTGACTTTACAATCAAAAGTCGACACTGCTACCCCGGCAGAATTAAACCTCGCTCAGTAACTCGGCAAAACGCACCAGGATGGCGGAGGTGGCGGCAGAGGTGGCGGCGGAGGTGGAGGCGGCGGTGGTAGCTGACGAGCAACTCTTTGCCTCCTCATGCGGGAAAGCGAGCGTCTGGGCGGACGGCCGCCGCGAGACTCGTGCAGAGCCTGGCTTCGTCTTTCCTGGGGCCGCCGCCGAGCTCCGCTTGCTGGAGTGAGGCTCACGCTGTGTGGGGTAGAATCGTGAGAATGGCGGTGGCAGCAGTGGGGACGGTGCCGCGTTCACCGCCGCTACTGCTGTGAAGCTCCTCGCACTGCCGGTGCGCAGTGGGAACCGGTTTTGTGTCGCCCCTTTCTGGCTTCGTGATACCTCTCCGTTTTGGGGACTGCTTTTGGTTTGTGCTACTTTACGTGACGCCTCCTGAGTTTGTGACATGCAGTCATATTTTGACGCCCAGTGGTTGATCTGTAAAATGTGTTTTTTTTGTGAAGACTGAACTTTTTGCGATGGCTTGCCATTATGTTGTGAAAGCTGGATAATTTTTGCCACCTGGTCTTTTTGTGGCAATCGGCTGTTCTGCAACACTTGCTCAGTTTGTACGATGCAGTCATGTTTCAACACCCAGTGGTTGATTTGTGACGTCTGTTCGGGTTGCAGCTGCTGGTATTTTAGTGATGGCTTATTGTGAGTTTGTGGTACCTGGTCTCTTTGCAGCATCTGACTATTCTGTGAGGCCCAGTCTATTTGGGAAGACCTACGGTCATATTGTTCTGGTTTGTCATCATTTTGTGGCAGCTGTCGGTTGTACTGAGACAGTCGGCAGCCAGCCTGCACTGTCACCGGAGCGGCCAGAGTGGTCTTCTTGGTGAGCTCTCGTCCCGGCCAGTAGAGTGATTCTATGGCGGCAATACCATAACAACACCAAAAAAGATGTCACCAATAAAAGGCAGCTAAGTACAGGGTTCCAGGTCTCAGGAAAAAGCCACATCAATGACAGATTTGCAAACTCACTATTTTTGTAACTGCAGCTATTGAAACAACACCATATGTCAGTGTTTTCATGCACATCGTTTTTTCAGGGTCAATAAAATGAGTACCATTTTGTGTTAAGTCAATATTGTGGGCACTATGGATAGCCTGGCCTTTGGCAAAGGACTGTGGAATTTCCACCACTGGTTCAAGACTATCAATGGAGGTGAGCACAGCCTAAATATTTATTTGAGAATGAAGATATCTATCCTCGTGTGCTACAGTGTAATAAACACAAGGTCCACTCATTAGCATAGGAGCTGACAAAGCTGAACACAGCAGCTCATGTACAAACTTGCAGCAATAACAAAAGACCCGCGCAATACTGTTCTACGCGTTTGTTTGTGTTGCTACACACAAGGTCAGGATACATACCAATAATAATAGTTTTCAGCCTTTTGTCAAGGCATTGCTGGGTTAAGGCCTTCCCATGCTGTTGCCGGTCATGGTGGGGGTGTTTGTCCATACTTCACTATGCTGGTGTATGCGGGTTGGTAGAAGTAGGAGGGGAGGTCCAGGACAAATTCAGATATACCGGTAACTTGCCAATGATGTTAGTTATGGCCGGGAATGGAACTGTGTTCATAGTGCAGTGCAAGTACCACTGCGCCACCACTCCGCCCCCAAGGTCAGGGGATAATTAACTTAGTACAAGGCCACTCGTTGACACAGATTGGCTTAGTAATCCCTCGATGTCTTGGTGAGCCTTGTATATCTTATTCAGCAGATTGACTGGATTGTTCACAACCTGCATCGCAACGGTTTTCTCTCGAAAGCGGCCGTGTGATGTCAACCATTTGTAGGCATTATGTGGCAATGTTAACATCACAAGCAGAAACTTTATTTACCCAAGAAAGCCTCAGTGAATGCCTTTAGTGTGGAATCCACGCTCAACAAAAACCACAGAACATGGAAAAAACCCCACGCAGCACAAGGTCGTCACACTCAAAATCCAATGCACATGAAGTGTTCTTGAAGACTCGTGGACAACGGGGTAAGGCACACGTATTTATTTACACAATGTCTTTACAGTACTGGAGGGATGTATCGGCCCCCTCACCCGTACAACTGGGAATTCACCCCTAGCTAGCCTTCCTAGCCGAGTCCTCCGCTAACGAGCTAGGGGAGGCTGTCTGGCCCGACACTGGTTAGTCGGGCTACGGTACCCGGAATCCCAGAGGTCTGACTCTGGTTCCGGGACCACGCCACTGGCTCCAGCCTGCACTGCCCTTACAAGGGCGGTGTCCCAGGGGGAGTCCAGGGCCTATCTGGCCGGTCTTCTCTCTTCCCTTAACTACTCTAAGACTGAGCCCCGAGCTCTCTGGCTCAACCCTTTTTATACCCCCCTAGAGGATCGAAACCCCCCTCACGCCGTCCAGTACGGACGTCGTTGCGGGCACCACCCCGTGTGCTCACGGAGTCCCCGCCCACTGTGTTTGTTTTCCGTTAGCCCTTATGCAAACAGCCCTACACAAACAGACCCTCTGTAACAGCCCTACATCACCCCCCCCTGTACAGCTCGCAGCCGTCCCGGCTGCAACAACTTCCAATAAAGGTTATTTAACCCCTGGACCCCCGCGTGTGCCTTAAAAAAACGTTTTTAACGCTAACATGAAGGAACAACAGCAACAACGACAACAACAACAACAATGACAACAACAAACCCTCAACCCCGAAAGGGAACAATCCGACGCACCCCCCCTGAATAAATACGGATACCGTAAGAACAAGCTATATACAATTTGTAGCGAAGCCACCATACACACAACAGCAGGTGAGCCCAACGTATGTGAATTCAATGGGCAGGGAACACACCCCCCCCACACAACACACAATGAACACAACATATATACACATCTTGCGGTTTCACAACAGTCTGCGCATTTTTGCGCGTGTCCTTGCGGCGGGCCCCTCACACGGGGAAACCCCGGGTGGCGGACCGTCAGGTGGTAATCGTCCGTCCGGGAGCGAGGCCTCCTCTGATGCTTCGTGACTGTTGGTATCCCCAGAAGGGGTGGTCGGGCGTGAGCCCGTCAGTCTCGATGCACCTGGAGGTGGCACGGCCGGCAAGGCATTAGGTGAGCGCGGTGGAGACGGACCTAGTGAGTCGGTCGACCCCCCACACGTCTGGCCACGCATGTGTGAAGTGGGTTTGTGTGCCGCGACGAAAGGTTTCAACCGAGAGGGGTGCACGAACCATCGCCGCTTCCCCCAACGAATGCGCACGCACTGTGGTCGCAAGACCTCGACCACTTCCACAGGGCCCCGCCACGGCCGCGCCAGCTTAGGGGAGGTAGCCAGGGGTACTTGGGGACAGTGCAACCATGCCCTGTCCCCCGGTTTCCACTGTATGACATGCGCCCGACCCAACCTGAGGCGCTCGTTCGCCTTTTGACGGAGGTCCGAGTTCAACCTCGCAGCATCCCGCGCCTCTGTTAATTTAGCCAAATTAAATTTGACGTGGTCAGCCAATTTAGTTTTTCCTTGCGGGTCGGGGATCTGCAGCTGGGCGCGAACAGGCGGGTCGGGTTCGCGACCGTACATAAGGTAAAAGGGGGAAAACCCCGTAGCTGCGTGGGGTGCCATCCGGTATGCCGCCAAGACCCCCTGAATATGCAGGTCCCAATCAGTCTGAGAATCTGAGACCTGCTGTGCCATCATTGACGAAATGGTGCGATGCAGGCGCTCGACCATTCCGTCGGTCTGTGGGTGATACGGGGAGGTCCGAATTTTCTTTGTGCCTAAGAGGTCACAGACTTGTTTAAGTAATTTGCTGGAAAAATTTTTACCCTGGTCGGTCAGCAGCCGTTCCGGAGCACCTTTGTCCAGGACGTATCCCTGAACAAAGGCGTCCACGATGGCTGCTGCCGACTGGTTGGCAAGGGGCCAGGCCATGGGCCAGCGCGTAAAATACTCGACTCCTGTCAGCAAATACCTATTGCCCCTGGGGGTGGCGGGAAATGGCCCCAAGATGTCCAGTGCGACAAGCTCATTTATTCTGGACACCTTGATTGATTGTAAAGGCGGGTTAGACTCCCGCGCCGGCGGTTTCCGTTGCGCACACCGCGGGCATGAACTCAAAAGATCCCCCACATCCTTTGTCATACCAGGCCAAAAAAAATCTAGTTGTATCAGTGCAAGGGTCTTTAGAGTCCCCAGATGTAACAGGCGCTCATGCGCGGCCCACACCACTTTGCCTCGCAACTCCGAAGGGACGACCAGCCGATGTCGCTGTGATTTTGCGTCCCAATGCATGAGCAGACCCTGTACCATTTCCCATGCACCCGAATCACCTTTCACCCGGCCAGCACCCCCGACGCGACGACGCCACCCGAGGAGGGAGGTATCCTCCATTTGGAGGCGCCCCCACTCAGTGACGGGCAACCCCAACAGGGAATCCCTTCCCTGTTGTTCGATCGAATTATCAGGCAGTGGTTCGTCGTCGTCGGTGGCTGCCAGGATCGGAACCGATGCGTCCCCTGAAGGTCTGCAACGTCCCGACCCCAGGAGGCATGCACATTCCGAGGTGGTTGGCATGCGTGACAGAGCGTCCGCGTTGGTATGGCGAACGCCCTTACGGTAAGTGGTCTCAAAATCAAAATCCTGGAGAACCTCCAACCATCGAGACAACTGTCCCGATGGTTGTTGAACCCGCAGGGCATACTGTAGTGCCGCATGATCTGTGCGGACGGTGAAATGCCGACCGTACAGATATGGGCGGTACTGTTGGATGAAAAAAACAATTGCCAACAGTTCTCTACGGGTAACACAATATCTCTGCTCCGCAGGAGACAACACCCGACTACCGTACGCGACCACCCGTTCAACGCCATCAACCACCTGGGAAAGCACACCCCCAATACCCGTGTTGCTCGCATCGGTGTCGAGCAAAAAGGGTTTCGAAAAATCAGGGTAGATCAAGGGAGGGGCTTTCACCAGGGCGTCCCGAAGGGAGCGGAACGCAGCCTCCTCCTCTTGACCCCAGTGGAAACGAACCCCTTTAGATGTTAAAGCGTGCAGGGGTTTAGCAATTGTTGCAAAATCAGCAACAAACCGTCGATAATACGACGCGAACCCAATGAAACTCCTGACCTCTCCCACCGAGGTGGGAGTCGGCCAGGAGCTGACACACTGCGTTTTGGCGGGATCGTTAGCAATACCTGAGCGTCCCACGATGTGCCCCAAATAACGCACCGAATCACGCAACAAATGGCATTTTTGGGGCTTGAATTTCAAATTAGCAGCCCGCATCTTTTGGAAAACCGCCCGCAACCTCTGGAGATGCTCATCAAAAGTTCTACTAAAGACGATAACGTCATCCAAATAAATGAGGCACGACTCCCATTGCAGTCCAGCCAAAACCAATTCCATTAAACGCTGGAAAGTTGCCGGCGCCGAGTGTAAGCCCATCGGCAACCTGTTGAATTGAAACAAGCCGTGCGGCGTACGAAAAGCAGTTTTAGGCTTTGACTCATCATCCAGAGGAAGCTGCCAGAATCCCGAAAGTAAATCTAGTGTGGAAAAGAATCGCGCTCCCGCCAAGGCGTCAAGCGATTCATCCATCCGAGGGAGCGGGTATGCGTCGGCAACCGAAATTTTATTAAGACGCCGGAAGTCAACGCAAAACCGCAACGAACCGTCCTGCTTTTTAACCAGGACGATCGGCGCTCCCCAAGGGCTGGTGGAAGGAGAAATGATGTCCGCGGCCAACATGTCATCAACAGCCGATTTGACATGGTCCTTTTCGGCGGGACTCAACCGAAACGGATTTTGGCGAATTGGCGCGCTGTCACCCGTGTCAATATGGTGACGCAGCAAGTGAGTGCAACCCAAATCATACTTATTTCGACTAAAAACGTCGGAAAAT